TCCCACCCCCACCCCCTCCTCCCTTTCCTTTCATTTTTTTTTTCGAAGAATAAAGACGCGGCCGTATTCTAGAGGGATGCAGCCACTTGAAATTCAATTCACCGATGTCGTAAGAACGCGAGGGAAGGGGGTGAGACGGGGGAAGCCATTGTAACACTATAACAGCCCCCATGCTTTGCTTACAAAGCAGCGGGGACTAACAATGCATTAAGTGCGCAATCACATCCATCTCATCCGATACTATTTGCCCTTTGCGCGTAAGTGTCCGGTGGCTGAATTAACAAAGAATACCGTTTCAATCCGTTTACCGCTAAGTGAAGTTTATTACTTGGCACGTGGTATCGGTCCCCGCGTAAACCACTCACTCGAATAAATACTAATCAATTCGTTTCTTCGATCTCTTTTACGACGCTTATATAATATTACCACGATTATCAATTCTATAGATAGAATAAGATCGTTTTCTCGATATTAAAGTTAATGACTTTCGATATATATATATATATATTTGTAATGGTACCGTTTGGAAACAATGCTCGCATCTTCAAGTAACTGGTCGTCAATCGAATAACGCTGGCTTTATCCATTTGCCCCGTGAGGGCCGCCGGTACGGGCAACAACTTTGCCAGCTCCAAAAATTCTTGGTTCTCCCTGTCGCGGCGGATACGCGCTGCCTTCTTGCTTTTCTCCTTCATTACGACTTCCTGCGGGCCGGACGTGCTAGCGATAGAATTGTCGTTCAGAGGATAGTGATTGTGCGAGCTCAGATCTAAGGTGTCTGAAGTGGAATTGTTGTCTGAAACAGAAAAAACATGGCGAGGAAAGAATTAAAAAGATGGGAAGAAGAAAACTTTAATTTCGGACGGAAAGACTCGTTTTTTGATCGAGAGAAGTGAATACGAAGGAGAAAGTTGGGAAGCAAGAGAGCGTTTACGCGTAAGCGTTAAAGAAGGTTGAGAACATGAAATTGTACGTAAACAATATGCAAGGATGAAGAAGAAGCGAAATATTGTAGCGAATAACGTCGAGACGAAAGTAAGGTTGCTAATATCGTCGTCGATCGATGTCGTCCAAGTACGACGATACAAACGCGAAAGTCATAACGATGCCGAAGCTGCTCGTTATGAGAACCGAAAGCAAAGGGAGCAAACCGTCATTAAAACGGCGGCAAGAGAGCAATCTAACGACGGTAGCTACCCATCTACCGAGACTTCTCACGGATGGAAATTCGCTTGAATAATGCATTTTTTTTTCTGCTCCGTCGTTCCAGTCGCCAATTCCGCGACTTCGGTCGCAACATCTTCCCTCTCCCCCCTCCCCTCCCCCTCCCCCCGTGAAGTGTATAACAATATATCTCAAGAGTTTGGTAAATTTAACCGCGAGCACGCTGATATTTTTCCTCTTCTTTTCTTTGCTCGCAGAAATCTTTATGTTTAAAATATTTATAAGGAAACTTATGAAAAATAATTAAGTAAACAAGCGTCTTGAAATTTTAATCCGTCACGATATAACAATAGGTGTAAGAAATTCAAATATCCTTGGTTTTAATTAGTTTCACTCGTAAAACGGCGGGAAGAAAGGAAAATAAAGAAGGTGGAGACTTCAAGAGACTAGAGGTGTATTTAACGTAGTACCTAGAAGTACCACACGTTAACATGCATAACACCATAGAAATAACTCGGTTATACCTATTCCTGCGTTCTCAGAATCAACAGTTCAAATCATTCGTTCTTTACACTCGGTACACCGTAAAATTTTCTTCTTCGTTGTGATCGTGGAACAAATAGAATCAAAAAAAGTGCAAATTTAAAGAGCCTGGTACATAAACCGAGTTTAAAATTTATCATTTAAGAACAATAACTTAAAATTGCCAATTAAAACACTGTAAAATTAAGGACACGTTTCTTCTAATAGTTTAATGATTAAAACAGATAAATTAATAAAAACGATATATTTTATCTTGTTTCCACGAAACAAAACGCTTTCGTCAAATCGTATCGTAACCATCTCTCGAGCCATCTTTCGAGCTTTCGAGCTTTCAATATCTTTCGAGCAACGAGGCTGATCCAATTTTTTTTTTTTTTTTTAAACATGTTTCGGTCAAAACATCAATACCTTTCTCGGCCTGTTTTCGCCTCCAACTACCGACATAAGGATCGCTTTCTAAAATGATACGACGACCATGACTCTCAACAGTAGGCGCCATCTTCTATCTTCACATTGGACGCGCGCAACTCGATCAAACCCGTTTACGTTTACGTGACGACACTTGGACACTTGCAAAGATCCCGCGTGTTTCTCACGACATCGCGTTGACCACGTGCCGCCGCCGTCCACGGGCGAAAGTTTTCGCCAATCTTTTATTTAATTCCATCAAATTCCCTAAAGACACTTTCTCCCGATCGCACGCATACACAGATTTACACATATACGCACAACTTTCCCTGGATCGACATCAAAATATACATACATATATATATATATATATATAAAACAAGAAACTCTTTTATCAGATTATCATTCAGGATGAAACGAAAAGAGAAAGAGACCAGGCCTTGAAAAATTCGATTCCTTTCACGATTCTTGAAAATATCTTGAGATGAAATTCGATAAGGGAAGCACGCACCATGACCGACGTCCTTTGCACTTGAATTACGACTAGTTC